ATATAGATGTATCTACCACATCATTAGTTAAGTAAATTAGAAAAAAAAAGGTAGCAATGATGAGAAATATAGGGGCACAATACAAGTCCAATTCCTTTGCTGTTAATTTTAGTGAATTATAGAGACACGATGCGAGTTCAGTTTCTCTATTGTTAATTTTAAAATTAATAACAAAGGTAATATTAATCAAAACAGAGTCGTTCAAATAAAAAACGATATTGTTTAAATCAACAACACCTCTCATTATAAAATAACAGCAAAAGATCCTACACTACAAGTTGGTTAACTACTGTTTGCTTTTCAAAAGAAATGCGGTTAATATCACTTTTGGTTCTTAAAATATGTATTTTTTGTTAATTTAGTCTTTATTATTTCAATTTCAATTTAGTCTCTAAAGTATTCAATCCGTGTCACTTTGGTTCCTAATCAAACAATCCATCAAATTTTTTTACGAAAATGATTACGTGTCATTTTGTTAAGAATTTTTTTAAAAGAGGACATAATCAAACCAATCAAAGACCCATGACTTAGACGTTTTAAGAGTCATTTTAGGCTAGAATTAGAATTAAGATTAGTCTTAGAGACTCTTCATTAGTTTGAAACTTTCTAGATTAATAAAAATGTCCTTCTATTTTGTTAATCGATTTGCTATCACTTTACTTGCTTTAATTCCATCAACGGTGATTATCCAAAGAAGTCCTGAAACAAAACAATTGAACCCAAAATCAAACAATTGCTTAAAATCTATATGTAAAAGGGATTAAATCCATTTATTATAGGAAAAATTCTTTGTGGAGATCAACAATTTTTGTGCATGTCTGATGGAACAAAATTACTAACTTGGATGAAGTATTGTGCGAACGAGGGAGCAAGATGAAGGAGTAATTGGAATAGAGGGCAACAAAAACATGAAGGCTGTGCCTAGCAATGCCAATTACGTTGAAGGGAGTTCAAGTTCCAACATTGTGGAACTTGCCGCACAACGAAATGGCCAGAATACTGCATAGATGCAAGATTGTGTGCAAAACCTGAGACAGGTATTACTTGATCCTTATTCAAGCATTAGACAAGATTTAATGAATGTCATGCATGGATCGATGAGTGTCCAGACAAATATGTTAGGATATGTGAATCAACAATCCTCTTATGTTATTAGAAATCGAACATTAAAGGAAGAAAATACCAATCCAGTTGTAATTCACGTCGAAAATTAAGGGCCACCAATGATGGCACCCAACATAGTTCCTAGTTTTCAGCATCAAAATCACTTCAATATGATGTTTGAAGGAGAACTTGTTGATATTTTTCCTAATTTCTATCACCTAAGAAATCCTAGGGGTAGAAATGAGCTAAAGATGGGTCAGGAACATCCCAAGAGGAAACGTGAGAGGCACACTATGCCTACTATGGATCTATTTGAGGAAATGAACCCCCCCCCATGTAGCCATTTGAAAATATATAAGTTCATAATAATATGACTGTCAATAAAAACCAACTAATAAAAATGATTCAAGATTTGTATGGTCCTCAAATTCGAATGATAAAAAGACCAGTTTTTAGAAAGTACCCAATGGGTAGAATTTTAGGAGTTTATCAGAGGGTATAAAATCTCTAAATTCAATTTGTTCTCTGAAGAAAATAACCAATCTACCATAGAACATATTAGTAGATTTACTTTCCAGTGTGAAGAAGTTGGGAACAATGAGAAATTGAAAATACAGTTATTCTCACAATCCTTAACTAAAACAACATTATAGTCATTAAATTGATAGCAGTCCTAAACTAAACTACAATTGAATCCATTGTCAATCTGATGATAAAAAGTGATTCAGACAAAAAATAAGAGCAGCAAATTAGGTGCAAGTAAAATTGCTCATGTAACATCACATATTCAAGTTATATCATTGAAAGAAATTAAGATGAATGAACGTATAGTTTAAGTTGTATCAATCGTGGAAGAAGATTAAGAAATTAATAGATAAAAGGCATTTATGCATTAATGATTTGCTTAAATGAACAAATAATTATTGATTTATGTGGAGTTCAATTTCTTTTTTGTCTACATATTATTAATTGGTAATACTACGTAATATTGCTGATATGATATCACATTTTTTTTTCTACCGACCCTTCTGACGTCTCTATAAGCTCATTCAACTAATTATCCACATCCAAGTTCAATTAGTAACATGCTCCCAATTGGACATTTAACAAAGTCGAAGAATTTCACACAAGCAGTCTAAAAGTGTAGGGTTACCATGAGACGAATTATAAATTTAGACATCGAGAGTTTAATTGGTACTTTATTTTTTGTGTTTGATTTGATACATACGGTAGAACGTGATCATAGACATAAAAAATTTACTTTGCAAGGGTAGGTCCAATGTGACTCAATTAAGAAAAATTTTAGAGTTAATAGTACTTTTGGTCTCTAATCAAATAATTTGTTAAGTGTTTTTGATGGAAATAATCATATGTTATTCTTTCAGGTAGTATCAATGACTAATATGTGATTATTTCAATAAAAATTTAACGATCTATCTATGTAGGGACCATTTAAACAGGAATTAACACTACAACAAAAATTATTTTTTGCGACGATATTTTTTGTCTTCAATTATTTTTTGCGACGTTTTTTTTTCGTCACAATAGCCTCGTCGCAAAATTTTTTTAACATAAATAAAAATATAAAAAATAATAATTTAATTCATTTTTTGTGACGTAAAAAAATCGTCGCTATTAATTTTTTACATAAATAAAAGTATAAAAAATAATAATTTAATTAATTTTTTACGACGTACAACAATCGTCGTTAATAATTTTTTATATAAATAAAAAATATAAATAATAATTAAATAAATACATTTACGACGTATAAAAATCGTCGCAAAACAGATTATTCCTACAATTTTGTGCAATGATTTTAATTTTGTCTCAAAAAAGTTCTTTTTAAAAAAAAATAATTCATAAAAAAGGATATTCTAATAAAATTTTTCACCGGTACATCAATAATACCTGTGTTCAATAAAAAACTAACACAATTAATACATTTCACATCTTTTTTTAAAAAAACAAAATTTTATCTCCAAAAAAAATGAATTAAAAGAATCAAAGAACAAGAAATTCTAAAAATAGAAAAAATAACTTTAGTCCTTCAAGAGGATTTGAACCATCTCTAATTACGTTTAATGTCTCTTAAACTTGAACAACTCTAGCAATCCCGCTCCATGCCTTGAAATACCATCTCTAAGCTCAACAGATCAGTATCAGAATCTGAACCACAATGCTGGAAATGAATCACTGCATAAAACCTTGGCCCTATCTAGGATCTGCATAAATTAGAAAAATTAGAAACAGGGCAGTAAAGCAAAAAATGCCTGCTGTATAGTTTAGAGCATCAACTCTATAATTCATCTTTTTATCATAGAGATCCTAATAAGACATCACGAAGAGCAAACAACAACTAGCCATCATAATCTCCCTCAGAAAACTTGTTTTCTGGATAGAACACAGCCACAACCGGATTCCCACCAAATTTTCTACCATTTAGGCCAGTTCGAGCTTTAGTTGCACTCTCAACATCTGCATACTCCAAGACCACCTAAAGAAACAAGGCAATCATTATAAGCAAGTGGACTTCAAAAAGTTGATACATCCACGTAAATAGATTGCAGGTATTTTTATGCTCAAGAGAAAAAAGACAGTTTGAACAAAGTAAAAGCTAAAGTCCCTTCTCAATAACGTCAGTAACAATCAGTATACTAAGACACATCCAAGTCCAGGAACATGTTTCCCATTTGGATTTGGACATGGAATAACCACATTCACTAAAGTACCTGCCATTTCAAATTAAAAAAAAAAAAAGTTACGAGCCAAATATATACCAAAATAAACGAGGAAGACTCGGGTAAATATAGAGAGAAGGCTATGCAATTAGAATTCAATTTTAATATCCTAAATGATGGTTTTTTTTTCATTAGAACCCCAATATCTGTATACTCAAATTTATTGCTTATACTGGACATCTTCAACTTTCCAACCCAAATCTAAGATGTCAAAAATCGGTTGGCAAAAGTAAAGATAAGTCAGTTAGTTATACATAGTGATTATTTCTTGCGGAACAATGATGTGACACACAATCATTACAACAGAAACCAATATTTAATAACATGAGAAAATATCAGGCCAACATCAGAATTCCTAAAATTACCTTCTCCGCATCACAGTCGACATGACCGAGCTTCACCTTGCCCTTCAACTTATTTGCAGCCTTCTTCCACTCAGGTGCAAGCTTCTTACAATGTCCACACCTTGAATAATATACTATTTCTATGACATTCACACGAATGATGAGCTTGCATCCTATGTGATAAGCTCGTCCAATTAGAAACAACTACAATCATTTTGGAAGGATATTTTTCTTCAATAATATATCAACTTTGATTATCTCAGTTATACATGCCACTGGAATCAACCAAAAATCGCAATAGCATACTAAAAAAAAAGTTGAATTTCTCAAGTAAATCTTTTTATTTCATAGGCATCAAAATCAAGAAGACCAATAAGAATCAGTATTTTATGACAAACTATAAAACCCCGAAATTGGATAGAGATCACATATTGTAGATGTGATAAAAAAAAACTTACCAAGGTTCACTGATCAATGGAAGGAACAAACACTAGAAGGCAATAAGCTACAACAGCATATGCCTGTTCATTTGCAGAGGGAGCAAGCCCACCAACATACACCCGCCGAGAGAGATTGGCTAGAATAAAACATTTATTTACTAGGGCAGTTTTAATCAAATATATTTACTGGTACAGAGAAATTTAGTTCCATGGATAGTGAACCAATTAAGATGAATTGCAGAAAACCACACGCACCAGAGAGACATTACAATTATGAGGTACCGGGGAACACATAAAAAAGAATGATTCAGAACTCACCTTGTTCTGAGTTTTCACAAGGTCAAGAGAAAGAAACAGATTACGATATGCATCCTTGTCAGACAAAAGCTTCCATAACTCATCAACACTAGATAACACAAAAGAGAACGACAAGAAGCGCAAACAATGCAAACCAAAAATTAGGAACTTTCGCTATCTAAATTATTCCCTAGGAATTACAATGAACTCTTCCTCTCTCGACACTAAATTGCCTTCTCCCTTTCAAATTCGGGAATGTGGTCCCTCTCTCATAACTCTCTTCACAATTGTTTGGCTTAATTATGCTATGGAATAAGGTAAGAGGTTTTTGTCTCATTTCACCGCAAGAGGCTTTACACATATCAATTTGCAGATGCATCAAGTGTGTCATGGAAGCTAATCAGACATTCATGAGGAAGGCCTCTCCCACCTCATTTGTTTGCTATAATATAAATACATACTGCAAAACACACAAATCAACACCGCCACAAAATAAAAACACAAATTATGTACATCGTCGCAAAAAAAAAAAACAACCCATAGCTTTTATTTTAGGAAAAAACAATAAATTACAAGTACAATTGTAAAATGAAAGTATAACTAAATAGGGAAGAGCTTAGTGATACCCTTCTTAGCCAAAGCCTGAACAATCTCTCCAGAAATCCCAAGCTTCGATATCTCAAGACCATCATCGACGGCCCCACTCGCTCCCGACGACTTATCTTCATCGGAGAAACTGGCGAACGCAAGTTCCGCCTGAGATAACACTTCGGAAGCCCTGAAATTCAACGACCCACCACCCACATGAAAATTCCTCGTTAGAACTCCATAGTTACCACTAACCCAATCGAGAGATTTCGATTGCTGTCTAATAGAAGTGGTGGAGGTGGAAAAGTTGTGACTTTTGGTACTAATAGGAGCATCTCTGGGTGTTGATGATGGTACTAATAGAAGAGTCGCGCTAGGGTTGATGATGGAGGCAAGTGTGAGTCGCTTTGAACATGGCGTTGACGACTTTCTCAGTAGGCGGAGGCTATTCATTTTCACTCGAATATATGCAGAGACAGACAGAGAAATGCAGGGTTTATGGAAGGGAAATTATTATTTTTAAAATTTGGGTCAATCTCATTTTACTTCTCGAAAATAGTTTGAATCTCAATTTGTACTTTCAAAGAGTAAAAATCTCAATTTACACCCTCAAAAATAGAAATTTGTATCAATGTGCACCCCAAAAATAAAAAATCTTAATTTGTACCCTCAAAGATAGAAATTTGTATCAATGTGCACCCCCAAAGATAAAAAATCTCAATTTACACCCTCAAAGATAGAAATTTATATCAATGTGCACCCCAAAGATAAAAAATCTCAATTTGCACTCTCAAATATAAAAATTTGTATCATTATGCACCTAAAACTAAATTGATAAATTATACTTAGATCCTCTCATGTTTGTCACTTAATCATTTGGACCTCTTTACATTTACAATATTACTCATACATCTCATGACATTTATGCACGTACAACATGTAACCCATTTTCATTGATATCTGTTAATATAACCGTTAAAAAATATAATTGTATCCTAATAAAAAATTATAATTTCATATCACCCTTATTTTATGGGTCCAATATACTTTAAAGTTCAAAATCAAGCTTACCATTTGAATGTCTAATAAAATGTAAATATTTATATAATGTTTTTCATATTTTCCTTTTTATAAATATCTATATTCTATTAGACATTCAAATGGTAAGTTTGATTTTGAACTTTAGAGTATATCGAATCCACAAAATAAAAGGTAATATGAAATTATAATTTTTTATTAGGGTAAAATCATATTTTTTAACGATTATATTAATAGATATCAACGAAAAGTGGTTATGTTTACACATGTACAAACGTCATGAGATGTAGGGGTAATATTCTAAATGTGAAGAGGTTCAAATGATTAAGTGACAAACATGAGGGGATCTAGATATAATTTATCAATTTAGTTTTAGGTGCACATTAATACAGATTTCTATCTTTGAGGATGTAAATTGAGATTTTTGATCTTTGGGGTGTACATTGATACAAATTTCTATCTTTGAGGGTGCAAATTGAGATTTTTGATCTTTGGGGGTGTACATTGATACAATTTTCTATCTTTGAGGGTGTAAATTGAGATTTTTAATCTTTGAGGGTGTAAATTAAAATTTTTAATCTTTGGGGGTGTAAATTGAGATTCGAACGATCTTTCGGGGTACAAAATGAGATTAACCCTTAAAATTTTATATTTACGGCGATGTTTTTAAAAGACATCGTAAAAAATAATTTAATTATTAATTTTAAAATTTTTATTTACGTAAACAATTATTGGTGAAAAATTAATTTAATTATTATTTTTAAAATTTTTTATTTACATAATTTATTGGCGACACTTTTTTAAAATTGTCGCAAAAAATTTATTAAATTATTATTTTTAAAATTTTTTATTTACATAAAAATTTATTTACAACATTTTTTAAAAACGTTGCGAAAAATAAATTAAATTATTATTTTTTATTTAATTTGTCAATTCCCGCCATTTCTCCCTCCAAAAATAATTGGGAGGAAATCGCCTTTTCGTTGCAAAAAAATTGTCAAAATAAAAATTTGTGACAAAATTATAAAATTGTTGTGAATAGTAAATTTTTTGCGACAAATTTAAAATCGTCACAAAAAATATTTTTTGTTATAGTGTAAATATTTTATGAACAAAAACAATAAAATTAATATTTTAAAGACCGAATTGATAAAATATGTATATTTTAAAGGGTTAATTACAAATTATACCCTGAAAGATCGTTTAAATCTCAATTTGTACCCCAAAAATAAAAAATTTTAATTTACACCTCCAAAGATATAAATTCGTATCAATGTGTACCCTCAAGATCAAAAATCTTAATTTGTACTCTCAAAGAAAGAAATTTGTATTAATGTGTACCTAAAACTAACCGTCATTAGTTTGCTGCCTAAAATTAAATTACTAAATTATACCTAAAACCCTTCATTCTTGTTACTTAATCATTTTGACCCCTTCACATTTAGAATATTACTCCTACACCTCATGACGTTTGTGCACGTGTAACACGTAACTCATTTTCATTGATATTTGTTAATATAACCGTTAAAAAAATATAATTTTATCATAATAAAAAATTATAATTTTATATTACCCTTTATTTTGTGGGTCTAATATACTCTAAAATTTAAAATCAAGTTTACCATTTGAATGTCCAATAGAATAAAGGATTGCACATTGAGTGATATATTACATTGATATAAAAAATATTTTATAAATACCTACATTCTATTGGATATTCAAATTGTAAGCTTGATTTTGAATTGTAAAGTATATCAGATCCACAAAATAAAAAGTAATATGAAATTATAATTTTTTATTAGGTTCAAATTATATTTTTTAGCGGTTATATTAACAGATATTAATGAAAATGAATTACGTGTTACACATGCACAAACGTCATGAGATGTAGGAGTAATATTTTAAATATGAAGGGATTCAAATGATTAAGTGACAAACATGGAGGGATCTAAGTATAATTTATCAATTTAATTTTAGGCAACAAATTGACGGCGGTTAGTTTTAGGTGCATATTAATACAAATTTTATTTCTGGGGGTGCACCTTGATACAAATTTATATTTTTGAGGGTGTAAATTGAGATTTTTGATATTTGGGGATACAAATTAAAATTTAAACAATCTTTCGGAATGCAATTTGCAATTAACCCTATCTTTACTAATAAGATAGGACTCATTTTGAATCTTTTTTTACTTTAAAATTTAATTTATTTGGAAAAGCATAAGAACGGCTCAGATTAAATCCACTTTTAATTCAAAGGCCCACATTTTCATCTCATTTCTTCCATTTCAATCCAATGGCTTGCAATGCATCTCAACCCAAAAAAAAAATCCCGCCCATTTTTAACCCAAACACACGCCTACAGTTACTTACTCTCTGCCTCAAATCAAACCCATTCCCCTACAGCTACTCTCTGTCTCCCGCCATGCCTCACCCATTTCCCTACATACCCATTTCCTCTGCCATGCCTCACCCCAGACAGCAACCCAGACCCCTTACCCCTCTACCCACACCCTTCTCACAACGGCTCAGCAGCGGCACACAGCAGCGACACCGGCTCAGCAGCGGCACACAGTGGCGATCAACACAGCAGCGACACCAACGACGTTCAACACAGCGGCACACAGCGGCTCACCAAGCTCAGCCCAGGTACCTCCCTCTCCCCCTTTCACGACCTGAAGTGGCCTGCCCAGGTATACCCACCTCTCTCTCTATCTCTCTCTCCCTCTCCCTCTTTCACGACCCACAGCAAATTAAACATACCCACCTCTCTCTCTAGCTGAAGTCGAAAATGATCATTTCTGCTAAAACAAAATCTAAGAGTTTTGATTGCAGAAAGCTACAGAAACCGAATTGAGTTTTTGCATTTTCTAGAAAGGAGAAAAGAGGCATCCAGTATAGGAAAGACCTTGACCTCAGAAGGAAACAAAACTCAGGGGTCCCAACCAATAATTTCTAAACTTCAAAAATCAGCTAAATCAACACATTATAAGCTAAATCAAACAAAGTGTAAATCAATTAAAATTCAATGGCAGAGTACACAAAATTTCTCTCGGTCATTCCAACAAACAATTGGTGTGGGTGGGTCTGTTTGTGATGTGTGTGTGGGTGAGTGGGTGTGGGTGTTTGTTTCTGGGTGAGTGGGTGAGTGGGTGTGAGTGTGTGTGATGTGGGTGCGTGTATACTGGGTCTGTGTTGGGTGTGTGTGCTGGGTTTGTTTGTGTGTGTGCGATTTGTGTGTGGGTGGTGAGTATGTATGTGTGTATTGTGCGCTGTGGGTGTGCGTGTGCAATGTGATTGTGTGTGAGCGAGAGAAGTGTTGGGTGATGTTGAGTAGAAGAGGGCAGAGAAGATATGGGGGTAGGATGGGGGTTAGTGTGTGCTTGTGTGTGTGTGTGAGAAAGAGAGAGAGACAATGCATACTTGGGAGGGGTTAGCAGTGGCGGTGGTGTTGCTGACGAAGTGGCGGTGGTGTGGCTGGAGCGTAAGAGAGAGAGAGAGAGAGAGAGGGGGTAAGGAGTAATATGTGTTTGGGTTTTTGAATTTAGGTTAATTTTGTGTAAGGAGTAAGGAATTTTTCTACTTGATACAGAGCCAGGAAGTTTCTTTTCCTTGTGGGGCTTCAAGTCAATTGTAGAGAAAAGCGAGGAAAAGAAAAGAAAAATCATTTTCTGTTGGTTATATCGTTAGCTTTGGGGAATTTTCTTTGTTTTGTTTGTCGTGTCATTGGCAGAAACAAAATACCAAAATTTCCCAAGTTTTGGGGGTTTCAAAAGAAAATAAGAGAGAGAATTTTTATAATTTACATTTTCATTTTCACCTGGAAAATATATGAGAATTGAGAAGTTCCAATCAATTTACTAAATAGCTGTCAAAGACTTAAATTGAGTAAATTGTTGTGTCCTTTGTCAGTAAAAATTTCACAATCTTTTGTGTATTTTGTTTTTTCTCTCTCTTCTATTTTCTGGGGAATTATGATTGTTTCTTCCTCTAATTTTCTTTGTTTTTGGGTTCTGTAATTATATATCATAGAATATGGAAGTTAATAAGTTTAGTTTGACCGTTTTAATTGATTGCATGTGTAATTTTGTGCACCGGTTTGCTTTGACTTTCATAGTAACACAAGCTGGATCTTTCTTAATTATTCCATCTATGCACTTTGACACCATGGTTACTTTGATGTCTTCAAGATTACATAAACACCTGATTTCTTGATTTTCACTCGAAACGCATCTATGGGTGTGTTTTGTTACATCTGGACATGTGAAATTATAGCAACAGTGCAGTGTTTTTTCCTTCTTGGTGGGTTTTCTTAGAGAAATGATTCAGGTTTTATACTTCTTGACATTTTTAAATCCATCTCAAAATTGAATATTAATTTTCTTTTTAATACTTTCTTCAGAATAACTTATTTGG